AAGCATCGATATGTAAAATATGTTTCTTTCTTAAAATAAGCGTTTTAATTAAACTGTACAGCTTGAAATAGTCGGGTAGTCAGGTCTTTAGCCCCAAAGTTTCAAATTAACTGTGTTATTGTGTTTATATTTATCTATGAACATAAATTCAGTATATTATATAAAAACTAAAATACCGACATCTGATATAAATATCCACAGAGATTGTGAAAGAGAAGTAGCACGGGCATACCTTCCCACCTCGTCCCCCTAGTGGCATAGCGATAAGTTTGCGGACTTATAACGCTAGAAACCGGGTTCGATACCCATTATGGGCACAGCACAGATAGCTCATTATGTAGCTTTGTGCTTAACTACAAACAAACTCCCCACACACCTTCTGTCTCGTTACTAAACACGCCCTTTAAAGAATTACCAGTGTCTAGCCATGCTCCATATAACCTCACTGTTCAAGAATCTGCGTGACTGTTGTAGCATGTTACCAACTGTTATATTTTCTGAGCGTATACGAAGTGTGTAATGTACTACTTGTTACATTATTAGATAAAACAAGAATCAAATATCACACGTCATTCATTTACCAATTCTTAAATTAGTAGTACACACACACGCCCAATACGTTAACACTGGTTATACCACTAAGCTAGCCCTTTCTATACAACACGACTGCTACACCATGAAGAATCCACATAACTTTTGAAGCACGTTACCAACTGTTATCCCACGAAAATATTCACAAAGTGTTGCTTCACGTTACACAATAAACTTAAGTCTGTATGTAGGATATTTGAGACATACTACATACTAATCCGTTATAAGAAGGCAAACATGACGTTTACAGAACGTCTTACTTTTCTTTTTTCGTTACATATGATATTCAATAAAACTATCAAATATAATATTTTTGAAAACAGAATCTGACAAGAATAAAACAAAAGTAAAAAAAAAGCGTCGTGTTTTCGGATATTCGCGCAAAGCTATTCAAAGGTTATCTTTGCATGGCCATCTCTAATTTTGAGCTAAATAGAAGGTAGCGCACACCTCCATCTCTTGTTTCGGATTTGACTGTCACTCTTGCTATGTACCCATGACCGAAAGTGCGATTTTTATTTTAACTTTTTGCAGCAACGGGTCGCGAAAGACGAGCACGCAGCCTGCCATGCTAACCACTAGGCCACCTAAAAACAAACTTTTGCAACTGTTAGTTACAGAATAAATTTTATTTTTTTGTTAAGCAAAAAACGTTACCATTGTTGTTGACGATGGATATGGGAGACACAATTTATTTTAAATACTATTATATACTCTTATTCTTTAAGAAACCCTAAAGGAACGAATAAAAAATGTAAAGTTAAAGTATAATAGTCCTAATACTAATGTCTCATAACAAGTATAATTAATTATAATAATGCTTCGTCAGCCTGGAAAAGCTGTTTACACGATAACAAAGAACAAGAATACTGTTACGACAGCGGAAGTCACGTGACGCTGGAAGTATGCGCGCTGGAGTTTCTAGAAGGATCATGACTGTTCCTGGCAACTCTAGTCTTTTCTAGGCGCCCTCTATTTTAGTATATAAGCCCGGCAAATAAAGCAGAGATATAATAGCAGATTGAAGAGAGATATAGAGACAGATAATTGAGTCATGCGAGCAGTCGGCACCGTAAGTAAAGTTCGTGAATCGTTGTTAGTTATAGCGTGTGTTTATAAAAGTAGTTAACTTTAAAGTGACT